AGTCTTTCATATGCCCAGTCAGTAGCAGTTTCTGGATTATGCCATGGGGCCATGTCTTACACAACTGTGCGGGGCACTGGCTGGGCACAGGATAAATTGTGGGAGACCTGTACCCACGGGTCCGTTTGTTGGTTACTAAACTTTAATTCTAGGTGTCCACCAGGGGGCGTCAGAACCCAGGGCTGCGGTGCTCCGTTGTGAATAGCCACTGTTGATGGAGGGTTTGAAATCTGTTGGCTCATTTGGCCTTTTCTGTGGCTGGGCAGAAGGGGCAGGCGCGTGGGAGCAGCTGGCAGCACTCCTCCCGGTGCCCCAGTAAGGTTTTGAAACTGTCTGACTTTGCCTGGGGGCACGTGAGCCCCGCCCATCTGAGCAGTTCCAGGGAGCTCTGACTTGCCTGATAGGGAAAGGCACGGTATGTTCTTAGTCCTGGGAGACGTGGCCTGGGTTAGCAGATAGCCTCATGCCTCAGAATTCCTTCAGAAATCCCTCTCCTCATCTCCACTAAGAGAGAGATTGTCCCTTCCTGACTAAGAAATCTTCTGCCCTTTGTCAAATTGAATTGTTTGCTAGGATACCAGTCGGGACCCCACGCCTCACTCCCCTCCTCCCTCAGCTCAAGCTTTCTCCTAGGCACTGGGGCTGTGCGGGGGACCAAGCCACTGCCTTTTCTGGTGGCTTCCTGGAATCACTGAGCAACGTTTGAAAACTGTGGATGCTGAGCCTCACCCCAGAGATGAGAATTTAATGACTCTGGAGTAGAGAGCCTGGGCAGTCTGTGTTTTAGTTTTGTTTTTTGTTTTGAGTAGGCTCCACACCCAATGGGAGGCTTGAACTCATGACCCTGAGATTAAGAGTCACGTGCTGTACCGATGGACGGACCCCCTCCCTCCCCTGAGCCAGCCAGGCGCCCCTGGGCATCAGTGTTTTTTAAAAGCTTCTCATGTGATTCTCATGTGCAGCATTATAAAAAATCTCTGGGTCCAGCATGCCTGGGTGGCACAGTCGAGTAAGCATCTGCCTTTGGCTCAGGTCATGATCCCAGCGTCCTGGGATCAAGTTCCACATCGGGCTCCTTGCTTGGCAGGGAGCCTGTTTCTCCCTCCGCTCCTGCCTGCCTGTGCCCTCTCTCTCTGACAAATAAATAAATAAAAATACTTTTTAAAAAAAGGTAGGGGGGAGCGCCTGGGTGGCTCAGTGGGTTGAGCCTCTGCCTTCTGCTCAGGTCACGATCTCAGGGTCTTGGGATCAAGCCCTGAGTCTGGCTCTCTGCTCAGTGGGGAGCCTCCCCCGCCCTGCATCTCTGCCTACTTGTGATCTCTCTCTCTGTCAAATAAATAAATAAAATCTTTAAAAAAATTAAAAAAAAAAAAAAAGAAAATCTCTGGGTCCAAAGCCTTGCTCTTCAAAGTATACAAGCTTCATAGAAATGTAGAATCTTAGCATCCCCTTCTGTACTTGCTGAATCAGAATACGCATTTCAACAAGATCCCCAGGTCCCTTGGTTGCTGAATGACACTGAAGTTGGAGAAGGGCTGATGTCATAATACCCTGGCTGCTCCCCCGTGCTCTCACCTGGCCTGAATCACAGCCTCCACAATGCTGTCAAGCTGGAGCAGGGGTTTTTGGGAGCACAAGTTTTTGACTGTGACCTACAGAAATGGATTTACTATCAAGGAGCAGAGCACATGTGTATATTTAATGGAACGAAAAGATGTCACAAGAAAAACCCCTTTACTACCTGTAAATGCAGAAAGAACCCTCCATCATTGTGCATTTGGGGAGGAAGGAGGGTCATCAGAGAGAAGTAAATCCTGAGGATGAAGGGCATGCTAGATTAATATAATACTTACTTAAAAAATTAAATGTGGAGGTCCATCTAGATGCTCATTATATATGCTCTGTTTCTTGATCTGGGTGCTGGGTATATTCAACTTTGTAAGGTGTGCATGTTTTTACACTTCCCTGGATGTATGTCACACTTTAATAAAAAGGTCAAAAAATTACATTCTCATATTTTCTATTTCATTATTGTCCTCTTCCACTAAAAAAGGGAAAAAAATCCAGTCAAAACCCACTGAACCCATTGAATTCAGGTCACCTCCCGCTCACAGGTTGCAACAGTAGTTTAAAAAAAATTTCTCTATTAAAAAAAAGAAAGAGAACAAAAACCTTCAGCCCAATCACTCAGCAGCATCCACTGCTCTTGGCTGAGCACCAGTTTGCAGGTATGAGCCAGGCGGCCCGTCACTGCCCCACGGTTGCCTTCCTTGGCCTCCTGTATACCCCTCAGTGCAGCCATCTCACGGTGGAGTCTTAAAGGCACCCCCACAATCTTGCCTCAGGCAGCTTGGTCTGCCTCCACTTAGAACGAGACCCAACAAGCCCTTCCCCCGCTCCACAGTCACTCTGCTGTGGGCAACTCTCAAGTTCCCCATCTGGGAAGAGACTGGTACAGGCATGTTACAGGGTTGGGGTTTATCCCCACAGCTGCCTTCTGAAGCTCCCGAGTTTTAGGCTTCTAGACTATGTCTCACTTCCTCCCATAAGCTGTCAGCTCCCTGGGGGCAGAGCAGTCTCCCTGGGTGTCTCCAGGCTACTAGTAGTACTGGGCTCGCAGAACAGTGCAGAGGAGACAGACGGCCTCAGATACCTCTCAGTACAGCCCCCAGGGCTCAGTGGTGGTTGGGGGGACAGTCCAGGAGTTGGGACTAGGCCGGATGAGGAAAGGGAGCAGGAGACCTCTTTTTTGTGAAACTAAAGCTCCAGATAACCTTGCACTAGGAATGTAAGAGGCGTGGATCTGGCTTGTGGGCAACTGGAGGGGAGGTGGAAGAAAGGGGAGTTGGCCTCCCTAGACAAATACCTAGCAGGGCAGACCAGGATACAAGTGCCTCGACCTCTTGCTTTGTTTGATTTGGAGCTTGATTTATAGGCTTGCATTTTTTGATCCCCCAAATCTAGTCAGCCCCAATTCATCCCAAGGTGAGGCTCCTGGGTTTGGCATTGCTTTCTGTGTGTTTGTGCTTTTGAGCGGACTCTGGAGTCAAAAACTGGATCAGGATTCTGACTTTAATACTACCAGCTGTACGACCCTGTGCAAGTTACTTAATGAGGTAAAGTCCGTCTTTAAAATGAGGTTTGTAGGGGGCGCCTGGGTGGCTCAGTCCTTAGGTGGCTGCCTTTAGCTCGGGTCATGATCCCAGAGTCCTGGGATGGGATCTAGCCTTGAGCCTGAGCCTTGTGTTGGACTCCCTGCTCTGCAGGAAGCCTGTTTCTCCCTCTTCCACTCCCCCTGCTTGTGTTCCCTCTCTCGCTGTCTCTCTCTCTCTGTGTCAAATAAATCAATAAAATCTTAAAAAAAGTGAAGATGGTAATGAGCACCTCATTCGATTGTGGCGGAGGTTAGATGGGAATACATGCCAAGTAGGGCCTTACCCACAGGAAGCTTCCCTAAACCTTAGCAAGGGTCATTACGGAGGTAGTGTGAAGGAATTTGGGAGAGGACGCCTCTCAGATTCCTTCCCCTCTGGCTTTTCCCCCTGAGATCAGGCAAGAGGGTCAGTCCTGCCTGCCCTAGACTCTCTTTTGGACCAGGTAGGGTGTATTCACCCTCTGCTCCGTGGCTCTGGCTTCCTGATTAAGGCAAGCTGCTCCACACACCATTATCAAATGATTTAGTGGAGGGGCACCTGGTGGCTTGATGAAGCATCTGACTCTTGACTCTTGATTTCGGCTCAGGTCATGATCTCAGCGTGGGATCAAGCCTTGCACTGGGCTCTGTGCTTACCAGGAGGCAGCTTGAGATTCTCTCCCTCTCCCTCAGCCCCTCCCCCTGCTTATGCTCTGCCCTCTTTCTCACTCTTCAAAAATAAATAAATCTTAAAAAAAAAAAATCATTTAGTGGAAAGTTGCCCTGCCTACCTCAGAGGGCAAGATACCATGTGCAAATCCACCCCATCCAGCCCCCCATATGTGTCTGGAACCCATCCCTTTTTCATTGCCCTCCTGCCCTCTGGCCAGGGCCCTGGGGCCCAATGCCCGACAATAGGGGTGCTGAAAGAGCCATCCTTACACAGATTGTTGATGTCTGATCCTTGGGACAGTTCTCTTTGGACTTGTTTTATTATTGTACCCATTTTATAGATGAGGCAGTCAGTAACAGTGCCAAATGGCCTTAAGCTTTTGGGTTCTAGGCACCACGGCTCAAGGCTGCCTTCAGCTAGCTAGGATCTGGGTCTGAGGGCTGCACTACCACTGGGGGGAGGAGCTCTGAATTTCCTCCTTCTTTGTGGCTACAGGGAGGAGAACACCCAAGAGGGAGCGGGGCAGGAGGGAGGAAGGCCCCTTTGCCAGGAAAGGAAGTGTCAAAGCCTGAAACCACCTCTCCCTTGTTGAAATGTCCTCCCTTGGCCCCAGGGAAAGTATGGGGGTGTCCTAGGTTCCCAGGCCTCTGGGCTCCTGCTGAGAGATGAGTCCCGCTCTGCAAACACTCACTGGACTGTGGCCTTGGAAACTTTCCAATCCAGCCTCCCCATTTTAGAAACAAAGCAACTGAGACCAGATGGAAGTGACTTTTCATACTGTTCACAAGGTAAGTCGGCAGCAGCTGAACTGCTGCTACTGAGAATTCAAGACTCCTGTTTCAGTGCTCCTCCACTGGGCCTGGTTGACTGCAAAGTCTCAGCGTGAACTCCTACTTTCGGCTTCACCTCTGTCTGTAGGCACTTAAGAAAGCACAAGGTGGATCTGGGGCGGGGAGATTTCTGCCGCGAGAAGAAGAGGCATTGGTGGTGGGACTGAAGAAAGGAAAGAGGGGAGGAGCAAGCGAGACCTGGCCCCCTTAAGAGGGCGGGCCAACCCCGACGGACCCCGCCCCCCTGGGGCGGCGCACGCGCAGGCGGGCTCCAGGAACTCAGGCGGGAGGGAGGGAGCTCCTGGCTCGCGGGCCGGCGCGCGGGGCCGCAGCACCTGCGGGGGCCGGCGCTGGGCGCGGCGCCCGGCGGGCGGACGTCGACGCCGGGAGGCTAGGGCTAGGAGGCAGGCCTGGGACGTGGGGGTGGCCGCGGAACCCGAGGGGGCGCCAACGCGCAGCCCCCTCCCCAGGGGTACGGGGCGGAAGGACCCGGGCGGTGGGCGGTGTGAGCGCGCGCCGAGGGCAGCACCATCTGGAGGGGTGGGACCGCGCGGCCTCTTGGGGGCAGGCGAGTGCGCTGGGCAGTGCGGGCGGGGGGCGTCGGGCGGGGAGCGCAGGAAGAGCACGGTGGGCTCAGCCCGGCGCTGCCGGAGCAGCAGCCACAACGGGTCGGGGTTCTCAGCTGGGGCCCGCAGCTGCTCCGCGGGCTGAAGCTCGGCGTGGAGGAGCAGGGGGGCGTGGGTCCGGCCGTGCAGGAGGAGGGCGGGGTGGGCCTGGGGGTGCAGGAACGGGGCGGCCGTGGCAGGGAGCCCAGCCTGGGGGTGGTGTGGGGTCTGTCGGACGGCGCGGACTGGAGGCGCCCGCCGCGGTGGACGGGCTCGGCGGGCTGGCCTGTGGTGCAGGAGGAGGGGCTGGGGCCCCGCAAGCAGCACCAGGAAAAGGGGGGAGGCAGCCCCGCAGTGCAGGAGCGTGGGGAGGCCCGCGCCGGGGTGCAGGAGCAGGGGGAGGGGAGCCCACGCAGGTTGCTGCAGCAGCCGGAGCCGCTCTCCGAGTTCGGGGACCGCTCCTGGGAGCGCGGGGAGGGGCTCGAAAGTTCTGGGGAGCAGGGGGGGCGGTACTGGGAGAGCTGCGGGCACCTCAGGCGGGAGGCGGTGGTCTTGGGAGCGGCCCCAGCACGCCGGGAGAGACTCGAGCTAGTGGGGAGGGCCCGGCCTGTGGGGCCCCAGGGGCCTGAGGGGGAGGGGCGCCTGGGGGTGCAGGAAGCAAATTGGCTTCCTGGGGTGCAGGAAGGACAGGTGGTGCGGGCTGTCCAGGAGACATACCTGGACGAAAAGGGGTCGAGGGAGGGAGAGGGGCCCCCTGAGGGGCCCAGGATCCGGAGGCGCCGGCGGAGGAGGAGGTGGTAACCTGCAGGCCGGCTGCCCCGCACCGGGATCGCTCCGGGGTCGAGGGGAGCGCAAGATGTAGGGGTTTGGGGATCGGAGCGTCGGAGCGTTGGAACCCACTGCGCGAGAGCAGGCAGTGTGTCCTACTGGATCTTCTGCCACCTCAGCCTGGACCTGATCGAAACTGTGTCGGCGGGGAGGCAGCAGAAGGCAGCAGGTAAGGAAACCGAATTCTCTTCGCAGCGGGAGTTGGTGTGTTTTGAAGCAGGGGGCTGCAGTTATTTCAGGAGAGGGTGGTCTCCAGACTGCTCGCGTCCCCCCTCCTGTGTTTAAACCTGGGGAGGGAGGAAGCAGTGCAGTTTTTGAACAGTAAGACTGGATCCCTCCCCCAACCACTAAAAATGCCAACTGGAGTGATGGGGCATTTCCTTAGAGTCTAGACTGGAGATGAGAGTGTCTGGGCCGCTGCCAGGCCTGGGCAGAAGGCAGAGAGGGGTAGCCCCAGGCTGAGGTTGCAGAGGCCTAGGTGGTCACCCCTCCAGCTGTCTACCCCTGTTGATGGGGTGCCTCCTGCCAGGGCCAAGATGGTGCAATCAACACAGGTTTCCTCAGGTCCTCCAGACACATTCCATAAAAGGGAAGGGGCAGCATTGCTTTAACAGGACCTTATCTAGGAACCCTCTTTGCCACGTGATCTGAGATGTGAGTGTGGCCGCTGGGGACTTGAGCACGAACCTGACCTGCTCCCATCACACCTTCTATTCACAGCTGATTAATAACCCAGGGCCCAGGGCCAAGGATGAACAGGGACAGAAGGGCAGAGAACTGCCGGTGAGGCCTTCTCCATGTGGGCTCTCAGGAGGGGTGGTTGAGGAGGGGATGTCCGTTCTGCTGGACTCTGGGCATCATCTGGGGCCCAGAGCTCAGCCTCACCCCATGGAGGTGGACAGAGGGGCAGCTGCGGCATCCTGAATTCTGTACCAGCCCGGGCCAGCTCCTAGCCCAGCCTAGAAATGCGGGCTTGCAGGGATGGGGACTAAATTTGGCTTCTTGTGGTCCCCCATGGCCTGGGTGCCAGACCTACTGATTCCTGGCCCAGAGGGGCTTTGTTGGCCGGTTTATGGACCTCATCTTCCTAGGGTTGTTCACCTCCTGGCACCATGTGAATTCCTGCTGCTTTCTCTAGCCCTTGGGTCAGGGTGGGTGCCGGGTTGCTGCCGGCCTTAGCTGGGTCCCTTCTTTGACCCAACCAAAAGTGTGGTCTTGGAGTAAGATGGGTCCCCCAGACCCTTGTCCGAGCCTGTGTGGGTGGAGGTAGTGCTTTCTTGTTGGGGCGGAGGGCCCGGCAAAGCCTTCTGCAGGTGGCTGCTGGAACAGTGCTGGAGGAGCCGGTTAGTCTGCTCCTCATGCAAAGCCCAGACCGGCTGTCAGCTTCGTCCCACGCCTGCTTGTCACCCCGCCACCCCCAAACACTCCTGCACTGGAAGTTCAGCTGCTGTGTCCATGGTGCCTGGCTCTTCTGGGATGGCCAGACTGGTTCTGGCTCTCTGGCTTTGGGGAGACTTGTCTGTTCTAAACACAGACACACAACCATTTATCTTTATCATATTTCAGGTCAGCTTTTTTTTTTTTTTTTAATTTTATTTATTTATTTGACAGAGAGAGATCACAGTAGACAGAGAGGCAGGCAGAGAGAGAGAGAGAGAGGGAAGCAGGCTCCCTGCTGAGCAGAGAGGCCGATGCGGGACTCGATCCCAGGGCCCCGATATCATGACCTGAGCCGAAGGCAGCGGCTTAACCCACTGAGCCACCCAGGTGCCCCTCAGGTCATCTTTTTTGAGTTTGTGGTAGATGAGGAGAAGCACTTTGACAGACCCAAGTTTAGGCCACTTACTAGCTGTGTAACCTCCCGGGGCAAGATAATGTCTCTGGGCTCCAGTTTCCATGCAGGACACTCTGAGTCCTGAGTGTAGAGGGCTCAGACGCCTCTCTGGCAGCCTGGTTCCCCTTTTCTCAGGGACCCTGGCTCCTCCTGGCAGAGGTTGGAGAGGAGGTGTCATGCTCCCAGATCTTGTCCTCTGGTTCCTAAGTCCAAGATTAGGCCCTGCCCTGGGCTTCAGTCTGAAAAATGAAGTGTTTATTCTTTTCGTTTTTTAATAACAGCTTTATTGAGGTGTAATGATATACAGTGAATGGAACATATTTAAAACAATAAGTTTTAACATATGTGTATATCTGGGAAGCCATCACCACAATCAAGACAATGAACATACCCATTATTCCCAAACTTCCAAAAGTTTTTTTGCCTCTCCCCGATTCCTTCATCCTGCCCCTCCTTTGCTCTCCCTTTTCCCCAGGCAATAGACCGGTCTGCTTTCTGTCTCTCTGTGTTAGTCTGCATTACCTGAAATTTTATGTCAATGGAATCAGACAGCGTGTTCCCTTTTTTTGCCTGGCTTTTTTCCACTAAGCATAATTATTTTGAGATTCATTCATGTTGTGTATTTCAGTAAGTCATTCTTTTTGATTGCTGAGTAGCATCCCATTATATGTATAAACCACAGTCTATCCATCCTCCTGTTAATGGGTTCTTTTTAGTTTTTGGTTATTACAAATAAAACTGTGAACATATGTATTAGTTTTTCTGTGGAGATCTTTTTTTTTTAATCTCTCTTTGGTGAATCCTTAGGACTGGAATTGTGAGTCATACGGTAGGGATACATCTAACTTTTAAAGAAATTGCCAGACTGTTTTCCAAAGTGGCTGTACTATTTTACATACCTGCCAACTGAGGATGAAAGTTCTAGTTTGTCCACTTTTTTGTCAACACTTGGTGTGATCAGTCTCTTTAATGTTAGATATTCTAATAGGTCTGTAGTGATTATCTCATTGTGATTTTAATGTGCATTTCCCCAGTGGCTAGTATTACTGAGCATCTTTTCATGTGCTAGATTGCCATTTGTGTATCTGGTGACGTGTCTGTGTGTCTGTTCGGATTGTTTACCCAGGGGCACCTGGGTGGCTCAGTTGTTAAGCATGTGCCTTCAGCTCAGATCATGATCCCAGAGTCCTGGGTTCGAGCTGACATCGGGCTCCCAGCTCAGCAGGAAGGCTGCTTGTCCTTCTCCCTCTGCCTGTTCCCCCACTTGTGCGCGTGCACGTGGTCTCTCTGTGTCAAATAAATAAATAATCTTTTAAAAACAACAACAAAAAAACCCAAATAGTTTACCCATTTTTCACTTGTGGGTTTTTTTCATATTCAGTTTTATGAGTTCTTTATATTTTCTGCATACAAACTCTTTGTTGAATATGTTGGGATTGTGTATGTTTGATTTGCAAATATTTCCTTCCAGTCTTTGGCTTGCATTTTAATTCTGTTAACAGTGTCTTTTGACAAGCGGAAGTTTTCAATTTTAATGAACTCCAGTTTAACAATTTTTTAAAAAAATTTTTATTAACAATTTGTTCTTTTATGGTTTTGCTTTTGGTGTCATGTCCAAGAAATCTTTGCCTAACCCAAGTACAACGGTTTTCTCCTATTTTTCTTCTAGAAGTTTTATTATTATTTTTAAAGATTTTGTTTTTAAGTAATCTCTACACCAGTGTGGGGGCTTAAACTCACAGTCCCAAGATCAAGAGTCACTCTACTGGCTGAGCCAGCCTGGTGCCCCCTTCTAGAAGATTTATAGTTACGGTTTTGCATTTAGGTCTGTGATCCATTTGGAGTTAATTCTTATCTATGGTGCAAGATAGGAATTGAAGTTCAGCTTTTTGCTTGTGGAGATCCAGCTATTCCACCATTTGTTGGAAAGCCTTGTCTTTCTGTGGAATTGCCTTTGCACCTTTGTCAAATATCAATGTCTGTGTATGGGTAGATGTAATTCTGGACTCTCTTTTTGTTCCATTGATCAATTTGTCTGTCTTTATCCTAGTACCACACTATCTTGATCACTGTAGATTATGGAAAATCTTGAAATCAGGGTAAGATCTTCCTTTTCAAAATTGTTTTAGTTATTCCACATTCTTTGCACTTTCCTATACATTTTAGAATCCATTTGTTAATTTCTACCAGAAAGCCCACTGGGATTTTGACTGGGATTGTGTTGAATGTATAGATGAATTTGGGGAGGTATCCATTATCTTATCAATGTTGAACCTTCTCACCAATAAACAATGTGTATGTCTGTATTGGATTTTTAAGATTTTCACCAATGTTTTGTAGTTTATACAGCTCTTTCACATCTTTTGTCAGATATACTTAAGTATTATGTATTTTTTATGTTATTGTAAATGGTGTTTTTTACATGGTATTTGGCTTTTTTATTTATCTTAACTGTAGTAAAATATAACATAAAATTTGGGGGCACCTGGGTGGCTCAGTGGGTTAAGCTGCTGCCTTTGGCTCGGGTCATGATCTCAGGGAGCCTGCTTCCTCCTCTCTCTCTGCCTGCCTCTCTGCCTGCTTGTGATCTCTCTCTGTCAAATAATAAATAAATAAAATCTTAAAAAAAAAAATTACCATTTTAAGCATCTTTCAGGGTATAGTTCCATAGTGTTAGGTACATTCACATTGTTGTGCAACTATCACCACCATCTATTTCCAGAACTTTTCATCTTGCAAAATTGAAAGTCTGTGCCTATTGAACAATAGCTCTCCATTCCCCCTCCGCCCCAGCCCTTGGAACCATGTTCTACTTTGTCTTTGTGAATTTGACTATTCTAAATACCTCATAGGGATAGAATCACACAGTACTTGTCCTTTGGTGACTGGCTTTTTTCACTTACCATACACAGTGTATTCAGGGTTCATCCATGTTGTACCATGTGTTAGAATTTCCTTCTCTTTTAAGGCTGAATAATAATCCATGGTGAGAATATACCACATTTTGTTTCTCTATTCATTTACTGGTGGTTGCTTTCGCTTTTTGGCTGTTGTCAGTAATGCTGCTATAAAATGGTATTTTTAAATTTCAATTTCCTATTGTTTGTTGTTAGTATATATATATAAGCACAACTGATTTTTATATATTGACCTTGCATCCTACCACCTGTTAAATGTATTCTAGTAACTTTTTTGTAGCTTCCATTGGATTTTATACATAGACTGCCATGTCATTTGCTAATAAAGACAATTTTACTTCTTCCTTTCTATTCCTTATGCCTGATAATTACTTCTTTTTCTTGTCTGATTGCACTGGCTATATCCTCTGGGATAAG